CATGGAGGTTTGTGGTACTTTTGAGGGCGGACCTATAAAATATGAAAAATAAAAGAATTAAAATTCTTTAATAACAGTTATAATACTCATTTTCCACTTCTGATAACAAACCAAATATTTCACACATTATATAAAATTCTAGGCTACTAGAAAGACAACCTAAGAATCAAAAACTCACAATTATCAATGCAGTTTACAGATTAAAAATAATGAATTCTTATGACCTATCTCAAACTGAACTACACATATCTATTAACGTTGTTCTGTTACAAAACCTACAAAAAAAGTAATTCCTTGACTTTTTTCCGCTCTATATGTATGATGCCCTACTGTTGGTTTTACCCCTTACCCAACCTTCAACATACAAACAAAAGCCAGTAAGGTCCTGCCTGCTACATTAAACTCAGAACATTCAGCCTCTCTGAGCATCCCCAAGATAAAGTATCTGCAGGATGCCCAGCCTGAGGCAGAGAGACCTGCCACTCCAGGAAAACCACACTCCCACCCCCTTATATCCATTGCAGGGTGGGATGGCTCCAGTCAATACAGAAAAGCAGAGACTCTGGTTAGAAGAGCTACTAAAAGTCCCAAGATACAATACTAACGGGTAGATTTTGTCACAAATCTTGATTAAAAGCAATGTCCTGGCTACTGCCTTTGACCATGGCCTGACTCGGGCAGCCACTGTCTTGTGGGTATCTTTTACCTTTTAGTTGTGAACTTGGTGAACTGACTATGCACCTATCTATCCCACTCGTCAGTGCAACCCAGTTGTATATCTAAAGCTTCCTCCTTCCTCCTCGGTGAGAAATCCCTGCCTATTGTCCTACTCTGCCACCTGTCTTCAGCCTCAGCAAGGATCCTGCCAGGAAGGCTGGGTCGAAGTACAAGAGAGCTAGCTGTAGTCAACAGAGTGAGCCCATCTGAAGATTAGTCCAGAAAAGGAATAGGTTTGAATTTATTCTAACATGATAGATTTTTATTTATATCATTTGCAATAAAATATAGACTTTAATAGAAAGATTTAGAAAAATAAACTCGAGTTTGTTTTAATAGAAATTTACCTGTATGTGCAAGCTTAATTTACATATATATTTCAAGATGAAGAGGCATTTTAAAAATAAGAGGCTACTTAGCAAATTAAGCATGTGGCCGCAATCATAAAATATTTAAGAAAATAAACCACTTGCAGACAAGTAAAAGCAAGTCAATACTATTGCTAAGATAACGATAAATCATTCATATTTTTAAAAAATAGGTACTGAAGGGAATTGCTATTCTTAGTCCCAATGAAATAATTATAACGGCTGAATGAATTTCTTCCCAAAATATTGTATACACTTCAGACTGGGTTTTTCCTAGCCTTCTTGGTGCAGTTTACCTCTAATTCAGTGTATAACAAAAATCTCTCTCCAGTGCTTTTCCACCAAGCACCTCAGCTACCTGGCGCCATTTCTTCAGTTAAACCTGACTATGGTGGTTGGCCTAGCCAATGCTACTGGAGGTGAGAACTGACTTCCATGGACATGACTCATTCATTCCTGATCCTTACCCAAATGGCAGAGAACTTGGAATGGAGTAGACAAACTCTAAGTATTTGTTGAATGAGAGAATAAGTTAGAAAAATAAAGATACTAAGGCATTCATCATGTAATGTTATTAGATTTATTACATTAGTATACATTCCATCATTTTATTAGTAAAATAATTAGCAGGAAGAACAAAAGACCGATACCAATGCATCATTCCTTCAAGTAAATGAAACCCACATGAAAGGTTCACAAAGAACAGGCCAAAGAAGTTCAACTCCCCTGCTATACCTCCCCCACTGAAAAGCATGAGGACAGGCTTGACTCGGCAATTCTAAGAAAGGTCATGCTGGTGTATTCCTACCACGACATGATACAGGGAAGAAAAGCAAAATGGAGTATTAGTTCATTCCCCAGGAGGATTACTGTGGCATTGGAGTAAGCAATGAGAGATGATGGTCTAGGCAGTGAAGAATAAGGAAAAAGGTGAACAGGGACGGAAGTTAGAAATAATTCACTTTATATTCTGAAAGATTCACTTTCATAGGGGTCATGCTAATGAGTCAAACAGACACTCTAACAATAAATCAGGCATTCATGATGCAAGAGAAGCTACATCCAGAATGATGGATAAAAACTTACCACCTAGAAGGGAAATTTATTTTTAAAATGAATCCAGGGGAGGAAGATAAGAGAAACACATTTTCATAGAGTTAGTTCTTATGATATCCTACTGTACGTTCAACAGACTTATAACAGTATGCATTATAAATAAGGATTTAAAGACTTTAATTATAAAAACCTAAACAGACAATCTTAAGTATATAGAACACACTTATGAAAACATATTTGAGAACTAATAATCACCCAAAACAAGATTTTGAAGATGATAGAGATTTACTTGTATTTATGATTTTCTCCCTCTTTATATGTAATTCTGTCACTTGAGCCAATTGTTAATTATGTAGCATTGGCATAACTCCAGCTAATATTTAAATGTTCATTTAAATAAACTCTCTCATATTGTAGCTGCCAAAAAGAAGAGTGATGCTTCATTTAATCTCCTTTCAATCCCGAAAAAAAAAAAAATGGTCTAAAGAGAAAGCCAGAGCAAACCTGAGATCTGTGGTTATGAACCTGGGGTGCCCATGGCTTGTTTGAACATCAAGCACCTGAGTTATCTGAATAAATAATAAACCTCACATCTTTATTTCTTGCTATTTCAAATTATTGTGATTAATAAGATACATGTTAATTTGAAAGCATTAAAGCAATATGCTTTTAATAGAAAAAAAATCTCCCTAAATCTAGCACCTTCCATAGATGTTCTATTAGATCCTCAACCTTTAAGAAAGAATTGAACTGTTATTGATTTCTTTTTTCTTCATTACACATTTTTTCAGTCAACAGACACTAAATGCACAATATTGATATGTAGCTGAGACCTCAAAATATCTGATGCGAAAAAGTTTCCTCATTCTGGGAATCAATGGCTTGGATCAATGTTACACGTGATTGAGCCCAGCATTCCCCAACCTTTTTGGCACCAGGGATCGGTTTCATGGAAGACATGTTTCTATGGACTGGGGGACATGGTGAATGGCTTTATAGCCTGCCACCAAATGCAACTTAATTGTCACTTGTCACTTACTGATAGGATTTTGATATGAGTCTGCAAACAGTTTATTTATTATGGTCTCTGTGCAGTCAAACCTCTCTGCTAATGACAATCTGTATTTGCAGCTGCTCCCCAGTGGCAGCATCACTGCCAGCTCCACCTCAGATGATCAGGCATTAAATTCCCATAAGGAGCACGCAACCCAGATCCCTCAGATGCGCAGTCACTGTAGGGTTCATGCTCCTATGAGAATCTAATGACAGCGTTGGGCTGACAGGAGGTGGAGCTCAGGTGGTGATGTGAGGGATGGGGAACGCCTGTAAACACAGATGGAGCTTCCCTCCTCTCCTGCCACTCACCTCCTGCTGTGCATCCTGGTTCCTAACAGGCCACAGACCACTACTGGTCCATCGTGGCCCAGGGGTTGGGGACCCCTGGTCAAGCCTACTCAAAACTGCCTCCTTTGGCTAAAAGTTAGTTTGAGAAATTGAGTGGGAGGGAATGAAGGAAATAGCGTTGCAACTGTTACCATAAGACAGCAGAAAGCAGTAAAAACTTGCTTCTCTGGTAACAAGAAAACAGAGGTCAAGACAGTCCACTGACTGGACATCCCTGTAACAAGCTGGATAAATATTAGACTCTAATACTTACTGCAGGCTCGAATAATCAGAATCCCGGTACTTTCATTTCCACAAGACATATTACAACTCTATTGCCCAAGAATGTCCCCTCAGAGTACTGGGGTATCTACACTTTTAGACTCTATAACCTCTGCACACATGTTACATACATCTGCAAGTCACTAAGCTATTCTAAATTCACCTCTTGTAAATTACAAAGGGAACTTCCTAGTAAAGTATTGTAAGATTTGTGAAGATGGTGTTAAAATTATGATTCTATCACTATACTCTTCACTTTTCAGGTGGTAGAATCCCCACTCCCTCCCAATCCATCGTAATGGCCCCATACAGTGCCTTTCTGTCTTTCTTAAAGAGGAGCACCATAGTTTTAAATAAAGGGATTATATGTCCTTGGAAGAGTATAACAAATTTGGACTAATATTTAAGTTTCAATTCCTTTAAAGTGATTTTTTTTAAGTTGTAAGGTAAATCATATAACAAATCAAGGGATAAAGTTGACTCTTTAATGATAAGAAACCTGATTTTTCTCTTCAAAATAAGTGAGCCTGGGATGATGAATTAATTATTATGCAATGGAAGTATACATTGATTCATATTTAACTAAAACATTCTCATTTTCTCTAACATAAAGAGTTTAAGTAAATGCTAAAATTCTGCATCTATGAAAGGCAAAAGTTTATACATATACTTATAGATTTAAGTTCATCCTATATTTTAAATATAAGATGAGAAGATAATTATGTTACTTTGATATTTCAACTAGTAAAACATCAGGTGAGCTGAGTATAGGAAGTGTAGAAAGGACAGAGTTAAGACTTACTACTGTTTTTAGTGAAAACATACCCAACATTTTCAGATATAACTTATATCCTCTCTTCCCATATAAAACATCAACCCTAATAACTAACTGAAAAACAAAACAAAAAATTAGAGTAAAAATTCTGCCTCTGCCATCTAGTGGAGAAAGAAGAGAGAGCACACACATTACAGATAGAACTCCAGACATGTGGACAATATGGCATTCACTTAAAATTATGCTCTATGTTAGCATGTGAAATAAGTTATTTCTTTTTCCAAAGATTTATGTTTACTTACCTGCCATGAAGAGAATGAGAGAAAGGAAGGCAGACAATAAATGGGTATGAACATAAAAGCAAAGACAGGCCCAAGATACTTTGGATTTCTGCAGTCAGTTCACAACCTCACACTTACATGGCCATGGAGATCTGTGTTAAGCAGCATCATTGCACAGGTGAGGCAATGGACTCCGTCTAAGGAAAGAGACAAGGACAGAAAGCACGAACTCACTATTTCCTGTTCAACTCCGATTATCATTAAAATAGCCTACATTAAGAACCTAGGTAAGCACAAAACTGTAGCTAGGCACAAGTCATCCTATTTGTTTGGGGAGACAGAAATTAGATTAGAATAAATCTTTAAGAAGACCTCAGAGGTGGACTCTAATGGATAAAGTAAATTATTCCTACCTCTTAGGAGGACAATTTGATAGTACATATCTACAAAAAGAAACAATGTCCTTTGACACAGCAAATGTACTTCTAGGGCTTTATACTAAGTAACTAAAATCTACACAAAATATAAGGATATTCAAAGAAACATTGCTTCCAATAAAACACAAATAAATATGATCCCCCCAAACATAATTCTTTTAAGTAATTAAAAATGTCCAAGTAGACATATAGAAGTGGAAAGTATTTCACAATAAATTATTACATGAAAAACATATCTGCAGTATGGTTCCTTTTAAATATAAGCACATCTAGAATAATATGTAAGGTAATATTTTAAAATATTATCTCTGGAAAGTGAGATTATAATTTTTATTTTTCATTTATGTCTTCTCAATTTTCTTTAACACAAGACATGAAAATAATATATTATTTAATACTGTTACTTTTTTTACTTTCTGGGAGGAAAGTGAATTAGGAAAGAAGCAAAAGTTAAAGAAAGCCACAGTCTGCATCTTCCACAGTTTACTGTTTGGATTCCAGTTCTCTGGCTAAAAATATATAGGCAGGAATAGTTATTCTCTTTCTTGCTCTTCTTCTTCTTTTTTTAAATGAATCTTGCCATTATTTAAAGAAAACATTTAGGTTGAATAGTCCAAGATACTATGAATCAGATAAAAGTAGAATACTAAAATAATCTGTGAAAATTAAAAAATTAAATATTTAAGGGGAAAAAGTTGCTCAAGCCAGAAGGATTTCACAGTTATATAGAAACATCACTCTTCTTATTTTATATAAAAAAAGAAAAAGCACTGAATTAAGCTTCTCATTTCCAGGCTTTAGAATTAGTTTGCCTCAGTACTCTCTCCCCTCAATTCTCAATCCAGGTACAGTAGACCAGAGCAGCTGCAGATTCAGAAAAACCTTATTAATTATGCTAACTTTACAGAAAGGCCTGTCCATTTATAGAATTCAGGAATTGAAGACAGCGTATTTTTTAACAGTATGCTTTTTAGTAGGAGACTTCTCTTATTAATGGCTCTTGACAGATGTTACCAGCTTAAAAGTATATTTATTCCAGTTTCAGTTATTATCACAAATTCTAAATACACATTTAAAGTATATTTGTGAAAGTATGTGTTAAACTCAGCAACCAGTTCTCAAATTTCCTTATCAACAGCCAACTGAATGCACAAATCCGTATTCTTTATTTCACTCAGGAGTGTCAACATCTTAGATTTGAAAAAGGTTCTAATAAAAACATCCTTTATATCCCTTGCATTTGCTACTCAATGTTGACAGTGATAGAGACAATGAATAAATGGTCTAAATATAGTCAAAGAAAGGAACAGAGAAAGGTAAGTTTCCATCTTACAGACAGGAATGTGACTTTAACAATCAGGCAGTTAGTTAGGGCCTGCAAGACAAAGGGGTAGGGACCACTCACTCCCCTCAACATCAAGGACACATATATTTTAGTTAATTGGTAATACTAAAGCTGAGAGATCATTACTTATTTCTAGTGTCTCTGGTCTCAGTGATTTATTCCATAGTTTGTATCTTTATGGAGAGTTCTCCAATTTTAAGTAAACGCACTTGACTTCAAACCCTGAAAACTTGGCTTTATTGTAAGAATTGAAATGGAGAAGAAACCACTCTTCATAAGGCATATTAACAATTAAAGCTGCATTTCAAAAATAGCCGAAGAACTTATCCGCATGACCCATGGACATGAACAAAGGTGTGAGGACTGCCTGAGGGAGTGGGGGTGCTGGGTGGAGGGGGGCAAAGAGCAAAAAATTGGGACAACAGTAATAGCATCATCAATAAAATATAATTGAAAAAATAAAAGTAGTACAATAAACATAAACTCATGGTTCATTAAAATCATAAACCAAAGTCAGTGGTTACGGTTGTTTTGATGAATATCAAACAAAAGCACCAGACATACCATAAACTCTAGTGAGAGTTGTAAATATTTCCAAAACTAAGCACACATGCACTTCATCAAGAAATTTAGAGACCAGATGTTTAGGAAAAGAAAATAAGAAAAATGAAATTTCATTTATTACAATCCATTTTGCATGTAAAATCTCAGAGTGGCAAAGCCTAAGCAATTTAGAGAATGTTGTCATACTATGGAACTGGGAAACAGAGAAAAATAACTGAAAGGAGAGTAAAGAATATCATGCATCAGTAAATATGCTTTTTAAAGAATATTTGATGGCATGAGAAAATGCTCACAATGAAAGGGAAAGACAGTAGGAAACAACTCTCTAATGAGTCCAACTTGACATTAAATAAATATTGTACTAATAGACTAGAAAGAAGTAAATCTATTAATAATAGTTATCTTTAGATAGAAAATTTAGATTATTTTAATTTCCTTTTGTATAATTTTCTATAATTTGTATATATTTTCCACAATAAAATGTAACTTTCATAATGAGGAAAATAACCCTTAGTATAAAAAAGAAATTCAAGTCCCGGCCAGTGTGGCTCAGTTGGTTGGAACACTGTCCCGTAAACTGAAAGGTTGCGTTCAGTTCCCAGTCAGGACTCCTGCCTCCTGGGTTGTGGGTGTGATCCCAGTTGAGAGGCAACTAATTGCTGTTTATCTCTCACACTGATGTTTTGCTTTCTCTCTCCCCCGCTGCATTCCCCCTCTCTAAAATTAATAAGTGTGTCCTCGGGCGAGGACAAAAAAAAAACAATCAAGCATGTCCACCACATTACCTTGTGTAGCAATGGTATCCGGGTTACAATGGAAATATCTATTGGAGAAGTGTATTAAAACTCTCTCTCGTTCTTGAGTTTCTCCCACAAGAGAAAATGCTTTAAAGAAATACCTAAAAAAAAGAATTAGGGGGGAAAAAGTAAAATTTTAGAAAATGTTACCATACCCTTTATGTATGACAGTTACAGTTGATTCATAGAAACAAGAAAATAATTACTTAAAGTAAAATATTCTGTAGTTATTAAAAAAAAAATCACTTACTAGATTGCCATTCAGTATAAATTTATATTGACATTTAAATTCTCTTAAATGTTCATGTAAAATATGACAGGGCAATCACATCAAGAAAAACCTTGGAAAGGTAGGTAATTTCACTCTATAACTGCATCTCAAGTTGCCATTTAAAAAGCCCAGTTGGGCATTGGCTGATGTGGCTCAGTGGACTGAGTGCCAGCCTGTGAACCAAAGGGTTGCTGGTTCGATTCCCAGTCAGGGCACCTGCCTAGGTTGTGTGTGGCCCAGATCCCCACTAGGGGGTGTGAGAGAGGCAACCACACATTGATGTTTCTCTTTCTCCTTCCCTTCCCTTCTATAAATAAGTAAGTAAGTAAGTAAATAACAGACCAGTTGGATAAACACTGAAGCACACAGGACTAAACACATAACCATGTAGGCTATATCTGAAAACTCTACATGGATCACAGTTTTTTTTGTTATGTTGTTACCATGACTGTAATCGCCACTGAACCAGTGTTAAAGTTGCAATTTTATGTTCTTGTATAGAGATTTCTGTTAATTTTACTTTACCTCTATCTCCACATTATTAAATTGTTACATGAGGAGGAAACTGAGAGATAAAACTCACTTTATTACATAAATTAGGAATAAATCAATCTGCGTATAAAACTTCTTTGAACAACAAGAAAATATGCCCAGAACCACACATTATTCTAAATCAGAGCCACTGAGAGTACTGTCTAGTGTAGATAAACCCAGTTGTTCCTCACTTGACAAAGTAGATGTATACCCCAAAGCATGAGATAGGAACAAAAAAAAATCATTTAAAATGCTCTAAGAAATCTTATTGAAAGAAACATACAATAAACCTTATTTCTATTATGAAAATATTGCTGTTTTGCTTATAGTTTGTTAATCTAAATTACACTGACCAAACTTCAATTCTTTCCAATTTTTTAAAAAATAAACCACGTAAAGAATATTGTGCTAAGTGAAAAAAGCCAGTTGGTGACAGACAAATACCATATGCTCTCCCCTATAAGTGGAATATATCTATTCAACAAAATAAACTAATGAACAAAATAAACCACAGGCATGGAAACATGGAACAGATTGAAAGTGACCAGAGGGGATGGGGAAGGAGCACAATAGTGGAAAGAAGGGGGAGGGACTAGACAAAGAACATGTATGAATGACCCATGGACATGGACAACAAAGTGGGAATTGACTGTGGGAGCGGGGGGGCGGTGGAGGAGAGCAAAGGGGAAAAAATTGAGACAACTGTAATAGAATAAATGTGATTTAAAAAAATAAAATTAAATTAAAAAAAAGAAAAAAGATACCACATAAGAGTGCGAAACAAAAATATATATTTCTCCCCCACCCTTACCTGTTTCATTGCAAAACCTGTGAGTATCCTTGATTCATGCAAAGAGCCACAGGATAAGTCACTATGTGCTTTATAATCCAAACATTCTCACTTCCCCTCCCAGGCCTCAGTATCCTGATTTGTAAAACTAGACAATTACGCAGATGATCTCAGAATTCCTCCAGGCTCTGAGGTTATAAACTTCATAAGCTGCTGACTGGGTTTTACCTTCAACTACTCTTAGAAAAGAACAGTACAATATGGCATAAAGGATCAGTTTGTTTAAGACACTTATGTTAGAACAGGTCAGCAAAGAGTACTACTGCCTGATCACTTCTATAGATACTTTCTGCTGGTTATTATCTTGATATTCATTTTTATTCCATTCATGAGTTAATTCTAAAGTACTGTCTTAAAAGTTTAATTGGTATTATAAACAAATGCTTAGGAAAAATATCTAAAATTTTACAATCCATAAACTGCCCTTTTTTAAAAAAAACTGATCACCCAAAAACCAAATTCCCACAGATTCCATTTCTCGTCAAGACTTCCTCTGCCACCATTGTTTACTATGTCACTTAGTAGATGCAGAATATGAGTTCATGTGATTTCTTAAACCCAATATATTTTTCTCACTTTCTACTATGTTTAATATCTTTAGTACAATCTGGACTAAATTCATAAAGTAACTGTGGGTTTAAAAAAATAAAAATCAGATTTTAGCTTCAGCACATTACTTCTCTTCTTTGGACAAATCCTATGGAGGCAAAAAAGAACAAAAGTGATGTTTAATCCTACCTGAGAGACTGATCCAGCGTCATTCCTGTAAAATCAAAAAACTTCAGATACTCTTCTGCAACTAGTTTGCTAAATTCATTGCTACAAGAAAACAGAATAGACTTGGTTATTAATATCAAAGCTGATATTAACACACACACACACACACACCCCCCGCCCCCGCCCCCCACCCCCGCCCCCGGTATTGGGATAGAACATACTTCTTGCCTAGGTGCTTTGCGACATCTGATCTTTTGAATCTGTCCAGCTGATAAAGGCGTTTGGCCAGCCTTTTGGCAGCTTCTACGTTGCTGCTGGTGCCATTACTGAGATTTTCTGAGGGCTCCCTTTCCAGAATTTCAGTGTTCCCCATTTCAGAATGAACCTCCAGCAGAGCTGTTTTCACCCCAGCATGGCTGCGAGAACTGAAAAAGGGGGGGCAAAAATTGAAAAGATTCTTCTTGTGCTGCAGAAAGCAAAATAGCTGATGAAATTATCATGATATTGTAGAACCAACTAAACAGAAAGGCTATTTTAAATGAGATCATTGAATTGCTTAATTATTCATAAAAATATTTTCAATTAGTAATTAAAATAGAAAAATTTCAAATATTAATTCATTTAAAAACAATCCATTCCATGAATACAAGAAATACATTTTTATTAAAGATAACTATATTTTCCAAAACAATATAAAGTTTAGTGAGACAAGCAATCATGATTTACATTTTTTACAAATTCTTTAATGGCTGGCTTACTAGAGGACAGCTGGATTCTCATAGCCACTTCAACATTTAATTTGTAAATATATGTTGTTTTGGTTGAAAAAAATTAAGAAAATACAGCATCACACAGATATTTAGTTATTTTTAATATCCTTTTCAGATAATTGTAGATATTCTATTCTGATTATGACACCAACATAAAACAAGTGGTAATTTCGTAAAGGTTAGTTGCAATATACATTCTAAAATTCTATCAATGAAATTTTGTACTCATATTAAAATCTGTCTTACATTTTGAATGAATCTTTTACCCAGGCATGATTCTGCAGCATGCAATGGTCATTTGAAAAATAGTTATTGATACATTTCATTACACTATATTAAAAAATTACATTCATTATTGTCACTACTACTATCTTCAGAAAAGACTAAGAACTGGGAAGCCGTCAAACTTTTGGTACAGATATAAGTTTTCCAAACTTCTAATTTTTGATTGAAAGCTCAGATTTTATCACTGGCAACAAAAATTGTCAGTTGTTTTCCTTAAAGTAATAGGCTCACTCTATTAATTTCCAAGAGAATGTTTGCCAATAACCAGTTTTCCAGTCATACTTTGAAGGACAAATGGCATTCCATGAGAAAAGGGAGTATTTTACAGCTCACAAATCTAATTATATACAAGTGCTTTTCCTGGAGGCTACCATCAGGAGCAGAAGTGCTTTATGCATATTTTCATCACGTGAGAAATTAAAAAGGCATCTTAGTCAAGAGTTGAAATGCAATTAATTTGCACTGCTTTATCAAGGCCTTTGTCTTCATTTCAAGTGCATGGCTGTAAAGTGCAACACGGCAACAACTAGAACAGTTTGGTGCCACTCCCTTGATTTGTGCTAAGATCCCCCACTGCCACCTCATTCTTTTGTACCATCAGTGCAACTGTCAACGTAGCGAAACAGGAAAATAATGCTGTACTGTTACTATAAAATAAATTTGACCTCACAAACCTACTGAAAGGATCTCAGGAAGCCCCACTGACTGCACCGTGGACCTCTGTTCCAGAAAGGGGTCACAATCTACTGCCTTGGGGCTGGCTGTAGAATGCCACCTCGCGCATTTATAACACCAGAACCAATGAGAGCACAGTGATTTCCAAATCTTCATTTTAACTTAGTAACAAGACAAAGCTATATTCATGATAAACTACTGTGTGTGAGTAGCCATCCAGCACACTTACCACAGACTCTAGACACTCAGAATGTTTCTGTCATGGACCAGATAGATAGTAAATATTTCGAACTTGGCAGGCCCCATAAGGCCCCTGCTACACATGCTTCTTTGTTTGTCCCCCCCCCCCCAACCTTTAAAAACATAAAAGCCATTCCAGGCAAGGCTGAATGGGGCTCATAGGCTGGGTTGCGTGTCCTTGCTCTGTCCCATACTTCTTTAACCTGGCCTGAGTTAAAAGTACAGTGAGCATGTATTGTCTAAACCAGGACACTCTGAAGAGGGAACAGGGATGATCAAATCATTAAATAAGTAATTATAATTGTTACAAGTGAAAAAAGAAAAGCACTACCAATAGAAAAAATTAGTGGTAAGCTTAAATCATGTAATAACTAACAAAAATCATTTTGGCAAAAATGAGTATTTTGAAAACTGCTCAATCTATTTTGTCATTTATTCTACCTAAATTACAGTTTCCCATTTCCCACTCATCCACCAACTAAGCGTTAGCCTGGCAGCTTCACTATCACGCCAATGTAGCTGGGCTACTGCCCAACCCGCTGGCATACCAAGTGACTCCTCAGGGCTGCCCCAACCACTGCCGGACTCGAAGGAGTTAACCATCCCTAGCATCCTCCCCAAGCTCACAGTTTCAGCAAGCACGCCACCTGTCCCTGAAAGGAGGCTATCAGGAAGGAAAACAAGGGTATACCACATTGTCTTTGAGACTCAACTATGTGAAAATTCTGTTCAATGCACATGTCAATTCACACCTTCCAGGAGAGGCTGCTAGACGTGGAAACACAAGGTGGAGGTTTATCAAACCCACGCTGACTTATTTTATTGCAACTTTTAATAATATTGCTTCATTTTCTTTCTTTTTTATTGTTGACACTCTTACAGATGTCCCCCATTTCCCCCTCTTTACCCCCAGTTGCCCCCACCCCTGCCTTCGCCACACTGTTGTCTGTGTCCATGGGGTATACAAAGTCAAAGCCAAAATCAAATGCTTAAGTGTAGTCAATTCTAGGACAACAGACAAACTGGAAGTGACCGGGGAAACTAGGATGTTTGGTAACCCTCCTTAAACAATCAACCACCTTAAACAATTTTCCAGCAGAAATATCCTCCAATTACAATAAATTGCTTCATCATGATGAAATCTTCAAGCAAATACATTTAAATATTTTTTTTCATGCTAAACCTTCCTTTAGAGAGTTCACATTACCAGCCAGTTTTGTGAAATTTATCCTATCAGAAAACTTAATAATTATTATATGTGGCAAATCTATAGTAAGTAAACTCATCAAAGGAATTTCTTTTAAAGACAACTCTGTGTTTTCCCACATAAGTGACAGAAATGTAAAATATTTACTCCAGGAACTATTTTAGTTAAAATCAAGTAATTTTTACAAATTAAAAAAAAAAATACCTGGAGTTGTGTTCCCATGCATCCCCTTACTCTGTATATTAGCTCTCATGTCAAAAAAATAAATGTCAAAGAAAGGATTTTCTTCTTCTCTGTTAAAGGAGTACTTATTGTTCACTTCTCGGGGCAAATTCACCTCATACACTGAATCACTTCAGGCAACCATGTAATTATACCATATACATCATACTGGAAAGATTTTATTCACATACAAGAGACTTATCCTAATGAGCAAATATTTTTTTAAAATGTAGTGGCCAAAATGATTTCTATTGCTCATGTTTCTCATTCCTCCTATTTGCCTCCTCTACTATCTTGCCCTGCCCACTTTATTTCTCAGTTTCCTCACATTCACCAGAAGGAAGTAATAATAAAATCTGTAGACATCAGACTTCTCAGGAGTTTCAGTAAAAAAGAAAATTAGGAATAAAGCAAGGTTAAATATCTCCATTCCTGATGGTGTCATTGTCCCGTTTCACAACTGGAGATTCCCCGAATAAGAACAGAGATTTCTCCTTTTAAATCAGAAAGTCTGATAAATGATGGCAGTACAAACTCACCAGCAATCAGACAGACACCAGGACATGATGGAGGCCAGGGTGAGACTGGGCCATGCTTCCTCTTCCAAGCCCCTTCCCAATATCCATTCACCCCACATCTCCAGTGTCTGCTGGTTTTCTAGGGATTCCAAAGCACCGGCTCCCAGTGAGGTCACATTACTATGACCTCACATTCTCAGCAGAGTGTTTATTGTTGGGGGTTTTGTAATGTTTTTAGAGCCTCAATAAAAGCAGGAGCCAGAACACAGGGGCCACTGTATGGCATGAGCATAAACAACAACGGCACCCAGCCTTGTTCGCATTCGACCCAGCAACATGGACGATCCCTCTTGGTGAGGATGGCGCCTCATTTTGCTTCCTGGAATACACAAGACACTGTCCGTCTAGTCTGTTTAGTATTAGAAGCTTTCAATGGTTTGAATGCTCCCTTTTCCATAGTTCCATTTTTCTTAACAGTCTCACAAGGTGAAATCCTTTAATGTAGAAAACACTTCCCCAAAAATTCTCCCTGTGTTTGATCAAATGCTTCAGTGGGGCCTGTATCTCAAACCTCTAAACAAATGTGGTTGACACTCTTTCATTTAAAAAAAAAAAATTGAGTCTAACCACCAGGCCTTTTCATGACCTCTTATTTTTTTTTAATCCCACTAGGATTACCAGTTTCCAAATAAAAATAATAGGAAATCCAGTTAAATCTGAGTTTCAGATTAACAACAAAAAAAGTTTTTAGTATATTTTAAGTGTTGCACGGGCATACTAACACTAAAGTTCCTCCTTGTTTATCTAGAAATTCAAATTAACTGGGCATCCTATATTTTTTCTGGTAACACTATCTCCTGAAATGTTTGTCCTAAACTTTATTTGGAGAATTCCAAGAATGGGATTCCCTGACTGTGAACTGGGCATGTGTTTCACAATCACGCTACCTTCTGGGTTTGATCTGACTTGCTTCTGTGATTAAATTTTTATCTACTGTTATTTTATTTTATTTACCTACTGTTTTTCTACAGTTTTAGCAAGAGCTTCTCTCAGTTGCCCAGGATCCACCGATTTTTCTCTAAACACAAAAGGAAAACCCTCTTTTCTCTGTATGCTCACGCTTTTGTCCCAGCCTGCATATTGTCACCAGAGATGTGATAACGGCCTCCTTTACAGACACTTCATACAAGATAAAAATGCACACTCTGCGGCGTCTCATAAGGCCATTCACAAGCTGATCCCAAATGCTCTTTAAGATTTACCACCTGCCATCGTCCTCCTGATGGGCAAACACAGAAATATGACTCATGCTCTCGTTCTCCTTCACGCGGTGTTCCCTTTGTACTCCTGTTACTCAAATCCAAAAATTCTGGGGTAACCAAAATCCTGTAAATTCTTACTGATCCTGCAAGAGCCCAGGTGAAATAACTACTTTTCTCAGCATCATACTCCAAATCTCACCCCACCCCCGTGGCATTTTCAGAGCACAAAATACTTTCATTATAGCT